TTATTATTATTATTATTATTATTATTATTATTATTATAATTATTATTATTATTATTATTATTATGCATTTCTTTGTCATTATCAGCTCTTTACCAGAGCTGTTTTTGTAATGAACTATTTGGTTTTTAACTCAGAAAGTTGGAACTTTGTTTTAAATATGTTGGACACCACTGCTTTTCACTAAATCATTCTCGGTTTTCAGTTAAGGCTGTGTGTCTGTGTGGAATTTGTTTGTGTTGGGGGTGTTAAACCAGAGAGAAGATGTAGTAAAGAAAGCCGCAGATGTATCAGGATTTAAAGGACATTACGGGGCGCAGGGCTGCTGCTTCCCATCTCCCGCTTATTTGAGTCCAGCTGACGCTAAATCTTGAGCTCTGACACTAAAATAATACATTGTAACACAATTTCTCATTGGGCTGTTCTTTAGACTTGTGTGCGTAAAACGGCACAGTGCAGCATGATGCCCAAAACCTTTCTATGTGATCATTGCTGCTCTAATTATGCTATCACCAGTTTCGCCAGTGCTCCCATTTTAATATTATAAGCAACAGAGCTGATTGGCTCATTATTAAAGCTCGTTACATTTTTCCTGATCCTAGCTTTGCAATCAAACGTACAGCAGAATGGTCTCATCCAAAACAATTAATTTTTCGGATGAACCCCCCAAAACGGGCCCCGCCTGATTAATTATAATTCCCTTCTAAAAATTCATGCCCACGATTGTTCTCAAATAAGTGAAGAAAGAGCTTTTTATATTGTTGATTAAATAAATCTTTCGACTGAATGCACAAATAAGAATGCCGCAGGAGAATCCATAATAATGTTGATCATTGCCTGCTTGTAATCGCTGAATTTCAGAAGAATTTCGGAAGCCTCAGGCAGGGAGTTAGTCTTTGATAAAGGTAACCCCGCCTGCCTCAGGGTGCACATGATAAATGTACAGAGTGACAAGACCGATTTCCTCCCTCTGTGATTAAAAGCCTATATATAATATGCAGGTAAAGCCGGGTCCGGTTATTTATGTGGGCTAAGCCATGGCCCGGGGAGATTTGGCTGGAGGGTAGAAATCATTTTGGAATCCGTTTGGTTTTTGCAGAAATCCAGCCTCCTTTTCCTCCCGGGCAAAAACTCTTTATTCGTCTCCTTTCTTCTAATGATTAAACACGTCACGGCGAAGATTAGAGCCGCGCGCCCGTGCCCGGAGGACATGCCTTCATTTGTTAAACCACCAGTTTATTTGTCAATGTGAATTTCATGCCACGCCTGAATCTTTCTTATGTGTCAAACGAATTACTTAAAAGGGGTTTATTGCTTTTTAATCACTTCCCATTTCAGTGTGGCACCGACACTGGCAGGAAGGATGGAAAAATGGCATGAAGCTCCGATGCTTCTTTTGATAAATCAAAAGAGACAACACTTATCTGGAAATGTTTTGGCCACTGCTAATGCCCCTTAAGAAAACAATGAAATAAATAAATAGAACATCACCTCCTAAAGAACCTGGTCTGCTGCGCTCTGGATGGCACAAGCACAGACAACTTGTCCTCCTTGCTAAACAGTCTGCCTGTGAGTGCAGTAAAAACATTAACAGCTGTTGACATCTGTAGAGCTCTAGCGGTCTCTACTGGCAAATTTAGGAAACAACAGGGGCGCGCACTGTGTGCACCCAATTAGACAACTTCAAATAGTCAATATGGTTACGGGCATATATTAAGGCAAACACACGAACTTCATCCATGACCATTATATATTAAGATAAACAGATGCTCTTCGGTAAACTGGTCCTGGCAGGTGTAACCATGTGAGCACCAATCAGAAAAGCCGTTGCCGTATATTATCTCTAACCTGCTGTTACATTTTTGTTGACTGCTGGAAAAACCAGGTGAATTTTCTGAAAACATTCTTCCGATTAAACATAGTTTAGAATTTCTCTTTTGTCATTTTCAGCCAAAGTGTACTAATTCTCCTGCCTGAGCTCAGACATGAAGGTGCAGGCCACTCTGACAGTGCACCGTCAAAAGATCATGTTCAGTCAAGCATAGGCTGCCCACGTGAGTGTGCAATGATCACCGAGCACTGTATGCTTAAAACGCGCAGGTCTAGCCATCCTATTTTAAGCTGACTTTAAAGCACTAAGATCAGGTCATTCTTCATTCAGACACTATAAGATGCGCGCTGATGCGTAGAAAACAGCAGCAAAAGAAAACCAGCAGCGTCTATTAGGCTGTAAAAACAGAAAATACTGTATGCAAACTGAGTGGAACATCCAGTGCGCTTACCTAGACTGGAGGGGGGCTGAATGTGTTTCCAGCGTTAAGACAGCGCACAGAGTTAATGAAATATCTCCAAATGGGAGTCAGGAGTGCGTGCAGAGATAAGCCTGATGTGGTTTATATACCCAGAAAGCAAGTGCTCCTCTTCTCATATTGTCCAAGAGCGTTTGCATAGCTGGCCAAGTGGCTCTGCTCTTGCTGACTCGCTAACATTGCACGGTGTTTGTTTTCGCTTTGCTATGACGTGAGACAAAATATTGGCCATATGTTCATCGGCAATAAATTGGTCTTGAGTGCAAACACAGCTCTCTGCTGACGGCGCTTTTAATCCACACAGCTAGGTTTCTTTCTTTGGGGTCTTTTGGGGACAAGAAACTATCTGATGTTTGCTGTAGGTGGACGATAATCGTACAACAGCATGTTTAAGACATAAATGTCCGCCCGTGAAAAAGCTGCTGGTTGCTCTTTATGCTGCGACCTACTATTCCTCGCACAGGCTGCTCTAATAAATCGCTTGGTAACCAAGAAGCAGCGCTGGCCACACAGCAGATGTGGCATGTTATGCAGGCCACAGTTGCGTTTACATTAGATACCCTGATACAATGACTGATAAACAAGGTCACAGTAATTCCCGATGATTCGGGACCCGGGCATCTCCCATGAGGCATGTGACTAACACATAATGTTTGCTCCACGGATCCAACTGTGTCAACACTGAAAACACACTGAGCTGGGGCCGCAGAGGAAAATGTCATTATTAACGCACAGGCAGAGCTAAATAATAACAGTTATAAATTCTTAAATCCTTCATAGAAACACCTTAAATAGCAGCCTAATAATAATAGTAATAATAATAAGTTCAGGCTACATATGTTTGATGTACAAAAATGACAATTATTTTACTTTTGTTTAGGATGTTAGTTCACACTTATAGAACAAAACAAACGATATGATTATGTTTACTTCAGTATTTATATTTATCTAACTGATAACGTTGCCATTGTTATAATTTTTTTAAAAATAAGATAAAATCAGTGTAGTTTCATATATACTGTATTTAAGTGTTTCACTTTCCATTGTGTGACAACATGACTGAAAATAGGGAGCGGACTGGAAATCATATGTATTCTAGAAAATAGAATGTAAAATAAAATTTCAGCTTCGCATGGCACAGCTGGATAAACTGAAAATAATAACAGCTGCACGTCTTGCTCTATTTTTTATTGCAGCTTTTTTCATTAAAAAAGTGTCTTGATTCTCTTCAGTGCATCTATATTTACACCTGTTGCACTGGCAACATTTTCCTGCATATAAAACATCCTTTCCTGTACCAGAGGCTGTCAGAGTCCGGTTGGCAGGGGAATGCCAGTAATTGTTGAGGAAGAAAGCTATTATGAGACCAAAACCAGTTGTGCTATTATAACACCTCAGGGTCTGGATAACTTAAATCAAGACAATGATTTTTACTGTGGGAAGTCTGGAATCTATACATGATAATAATGGTGTTGCCCAGTAGTGCAAGGAGCAACCATCAATCAATAGCGAATACATTACTGATGGGTTTTGTGCAGGGCCACTTTGCTGATGAAAGACAGAGATTATCCACCCCCCATCACTGTGTTCAAAAGTATCACTAAGACGCTGAGAATACAAATAAATAAATTGGCCTCATACCTTGTTTGAAATTCCACATTAAGGTAAAGTAGTTAGTTAGAGTTGGAATGTATTCATGAGGTTCAGATGGATGAGAAAAGGCTTTCCACTCAGCCGCTCTGTGAATACCCTTGTGCTGTTTGAGATTTGCCACAAGTGCTCTGGGTGCTAAATACAAGACCTCCTGAAAAAGGATGGGTAAGATAGGCCCTACCGGTCAAGCTATTATCAATCCCAGGCCTAAAGCTTGATGACTAAGATACTTCAGATGCAGTTAACGGCTGCGCAAGGACACTGATGGCACAGCATTCTGAAATCAATCAGTTCAAGTTTTAATGTATCGACCACTCAAAGAGAACGAAAAGAGGGAGAGCTTCTCGACACACAAATGCCAGAGAGACCGGGTTGATTTTCATGGAAGGTACACTTTAAAAAAAGTTTAATTAAACC